TCGAAGAGTATTCTCTTCGAAACGTCGCCTAAATAAACCAGTAGCTGTTTTCCATAAGTATGTTTATAGTTTATTTGCTCAAAAACAGTTGATTTAAGTTAAAATGTTTCTGTGATGTCTATATTATGCTTGTTTAGTATTGATGAGAAACGTGACAGTATAGTAGATGAAAATCAACAATGACTTAACATCCCTTCAATGAATTGAGTTACGAATTATGTAAATTCGTATTTTCCCGGCAAATCTGACCGCCATCTTGAATTATTCCCCAATAATTCACTGATATAACCATTCACCAAAATTTATATGGAAACAGATTCAACTATCCTGGACGTATATTTTGAAACCAAAATCGGTCATATTATGATAATTTCGTAAAAATTGACATTTTCCAGCCCAAACTGTAAGCCATTTTTATTGTCGTCGCCCCTGTCCGTCCACAATTGTTTGTGGACACAATTTTTATCCGATTTCAACGAAACTATAAATATAGATTTATCTCCCTAAGATCTCGGTTCCTTTCGATATTGGCATGTATCGGACCGCAACTTCATGGATTATGGCCCCTGATTGTACGAAAAGTCGTGTTTTTAGCTTGTGGACCCTATAGAGGTCACAATTTTTATCTGATTTTGTTGAAATTCGAAATGTAAGTTTATAACCAAAAGATCTTAGTTCCTTTCGATATTCGCGCATATCGGACCTTAACTTCCTTAATTATGGCTCCTGATTGTACGAAAAATCACGTTCTTAAGCTTGTGGACCCTAAGGAGGTCACAATTTTATTCCGATTTAAAACGTTTGAATATATCACCGGTACACCTTAATGACGGTTGTGTTAAAATTTCATGAAAATCGGACCACAACTGCCGGACAAAATGGCCGCCCCTGGAACGCAAACAGTGTAAAAATATGGTATATCAAGGTTGTGGACCCGCTAGAGCTCACAATTTTGATCCGATTTTGATGAAATTTGAAATACATGTTTATAACCCAAAGGCCTTGGTTCCTTTCGATTTTTGCGCATATCGGATCGTAACTTCCTGAATTATGGCCCATGACTGTATAGGTCACAATTATTATCCGATTTAAAAAAAAAAACGTGTGAATATATCACCGTTACACCGTAATGATGGTTGATTTCGAATTTCGTGAAAATCGGACCAAAACTGACGGACAAAATGGCCGCCCCTCTTATAACGCAAATGGTGTAAATATGTGGTATATCAAATTTTTTTCCGATTTTGATTCAACCTTAAATTTATGCTTATATCACAAAGGCCTTGGTTCCTTTCGATATTCGCGCATATCGGATCGTAACTTCCTGAATTATGGCCCTTGATCGTATGAAAGATTGCGTTTTAAGCTTGTGGTCCCTCTAGAGTTAACAATTTTTATCCAATTTAAAAAAACGTTTGCATATATCACCGTTACATCCTAATGATGGTTGAGTTCAAATTTCGTGAAAATCGGACAAAATGGCCGCCCCTCGTACGCTAATAGTGTAAAAAATAGTTTTTCAAGGTTGTGGACTCTCTAGAGGTCACAATTGTCACCCGATTTTGATGAAACTTGAAATGCAAGTTTAGACGCCAAAGATCTTGGTTCCTTTATTGCAGTGTTGTCTAGTGAAAGTGTCGGCAATATTGGGTTCTTTTAATCTTTATACGCCCACATTTTCATGTGGACGTATATTGTCGTCGCCCCTGTCCGTCCGGACGTCAGTCCGTCCGTACACAATTGTTTCTGGACACTCTACAGGTCACAATTCTTATCCGATTTTGACGAAACTTGAAATATAGGTTTATCTCCAAAAGATCTCGGTTGGTTTCGATATTGGCATGTATCGGATCGAAACTTCATGGATTATGGCCCCTGATTGTACGAAAAATCACGTTTTTAGCTTGTGGACCCTATAGAGGTCACAATTTTTATCCGATTTTGTTGAAACTTGTAATGTAAGTTTATAACCCAAAGATCTCGGTTCCTTGCGATATTCGCGCATATCGGATCGTAACTTCCTGAATTATGGCCCCTGATTGTACGAAAAATCGCGTTTTTAGCTTGTGGACCCTATAGAGGTCATCATTTTTATCCGATTTAAAAAATCGTTTTAGTATACCACCGTTACACCTGGTTGAGTTCAAATTTCGTGAAAATCGACCCAAAACTGACAGACAAAATGGCCGTCCCTCGTTATCAAATAGCGTAAAAATATGGTATATCAAGGTTGTGGACCCTCTAGAGGTCACAATTTTCTTCTAATTTTGATGAAACTTGAAATGTAAGTTTATAACCCCAAGATCTCGGTTCCTGTAAATATTCGCGCATATGGACACAGATCACCAAATATTCCTACAAAACAAGGGCCAAAGCTATTTTTAGTCTTCCTCTCCCATTTCCTTTTTCCCTCTTTTGCATGGCGATTTTTGTTGACTTTTCTGGTGTAGAATCGAAGAAAAGGGTTTGAAAATACATTTTCTGTCAGGTTTTGGTGAATATTCATAATTTTGATGCGGAAAGATACAAGAGTTGAGAGCTTGGTTAGGTTGAAATGTAGGGCCTGAAATTGCATGTTTATTTGTCTCTACTTCCAGCTTGTGTATCTCAAGTTTTTCATGAAGAACCTCATACGTGCTTTTGGGCAAGTGGTTGCCACATGTTGCTCCATCTGTGGTAGAAAGCGTTCTACCCAACGAAAATTTGGGAAAAAGTTAGAGCCGGTCTAAGATACGAGAATTAACATTGGAGTCAATGGGGAAATCTTTAGTGATCTGTGGCCATATAGGACTGTAACTTCCTGAATTATGGCCCCTGATTGTACGATAAATCACGTTTATAGCTTGTGGACCCTATAGCGGTCATAATTTGTATGCGATTTAAGAAAACGTTTGAATATATCACCGTTACACCCTAAATCGGACCAAAACTGACAGACAAAATGGCCGCCCGCGTACTCAAATAGCGTAAAAATAAGGTATATGAATGTTGTGGACCCTCTAGAGATCACAATTTTCTTCTGATTTTGATGAAACGTGAAATATAAGTTTATAACCCAAAGATCTTAATTCGCTCTTTTCGATATTCGCGCATATCGGAATTGTAACTTCCTGAATTATGGCCCCTGATTGTACGAAAAATCGCGTTTTTAGCTTGAGGTCCCTCTATAGGTCACAATTATTATCCGATTTAAAAAAAAACGCTTGAATATATCACCTTTACACCCTAAGGATGGTTGAGTTCGAATTGAGTCAATTGGCGTGGTTTCGATTCCCCTGTTGTACGTGACAGGGAGTTGTGTCGCCTGTCCAACCTTCGTGGGGTTTTCCGGTTTCCTCCCACTGCTAAAGACCTCTACGGCTACGCGCAAGCGAATTATTGAAATAAAATTGAACCACGAGGTAGTCCCGAAATGGCCTAGTTTGTCGAGTGGACGTTAAACCCCATTACTCTCTCTCTCTCTCTGTCGCTCTCTCTCTCTCACACCAAACTCTTCCACTGGAATTTGTATTTTGACTATGTAGCCTACTTGTTAGAGTGGATTGCATCTGATATTTTTTGTTAGTCATTTCAGCACAAGGATATAAAGACGAAAACTATATTTCGACATCACAACCTATTCTCGGGTGTTTTGCTTCCATTTACTTTCATATACGTACTATTGGAGGAATATTGCTGGCGTGAATTGAAACAGCCACCGCTCGGCACGCTTTCATCCTATCACAAACTATTTTTATTTCTGATGTTTTGCCTCATTTGCTGCCGTATAATACTATAAACGAAGTCACGTAATTCTGGAACAATATTACCTGCGTTTGATGCAGGCACGGGTCTGCACGCTTTCATTCTATCGTATTATGAAATCACGTAATTTTGTAGGAATATTACTGACATAAATTTGAATACCGTACGGGAATTAAATATGAAAAATAGCGAGGTGCACTTATTTTTATTACGTGCGGATTTTTATACGTCTACATTGAAATGTGGTCGTATATTGTCGGTCCGGCGTCCAGAATTGCTTGTGGACGCTCTAGAGGCTAAAGTTAAAATCTGATTGACTTTAAATTTATACACAGTGTTTAAGGTCATCAACGATTTCTGGTAATTACTGTCAGATTTATGACCCTTGATCACTTTGAATATCTTGTGGACGCTCTAGGGACTAAAGTGAAAATCCGATTGAGTTTAAATTTATACACCGTGTTTATGGCCATGAGACAAAGACATCCATTGATTTTCAAAATTTTCCGATAACTACTTCCAGAGTTATGGCCCTTGATCACTTTGAAAAATCTTGTAGATGCTCTAAGAGACCAAAGTTATCATCCGGTTGATTTTAAATTTATACACCGTGTTTACGGTCACGAGACGAAGACACCTATATATTATCAAGGATTTCCAATAATTACTGCCAGATTTATGGCCCTGGATTACTTCGAAAAATCTTGCGGATGCTGTACATGTCCAAGTAATCATTCGATTGACTTTAGATTGCTACACAGAGTTTAAGGGTATATTGACTTTCAATGATTTTTGATAACTTGAACAGCTAAATCCATAATATTAAATGTTTTGTGTACTAAATGGAAGAATGATTTTCTGATAATTACTTAATGAATTGTTACTGTTAATAAGATTTTAGTGTATTATAATTGTGTCTTTACCGCAAAAGGAAACATATGTCACAACTCTTGTTGACTCCCCGGACGATTTAGCTGCTGTGGATGTATGTTTCGTTGCCTGGCAACCTATCTTTATTATGTGTGGACACGTGAATTTTAATTATGGAGTAAAACCGTCTGCTTAAATAATAAGAGTTATGCCCCTTATTTTCAGTAAAAATGTCCGACAAGAAATAAATCGAAATGGCAACACTGGCCTACGCCTGAGAGAAACTAGCGGAGATAGATTTACTAGGAAATCTGTCAGTTTTGCCATGAACCCATAATATAAGATATAGCTGAATAATTAGCTTACTAATAAACACAAACTATCAGTTCATTTTTAATATAATTTATATCTGAGGTGATGACTGATTTTATTGTGTATAATCATTCTCTGTACAAGATATGACCATAAATGATAAACAATGATCCATTGAGAAAAGCATTAATCCATCAAGATTTGATCGTATATGATAAATAGTGATCCATCCATATATGACAAAAATATCATTATGACCATATATGACAAAAAATATCAGTATGACCATATATGATAAATAAATATCATTATGACCTTATGTGATAAATAGAAATATCATTATGACCATATATGACAAATAAATATCAATATGACGGTATATGATAATTAAATATCATTATGACCTTATATGATAAATAAAAAAAATCATTATGACCGTATAGGATAAATAAATATCAATACCAATTTCACCATATATGATAAAAGACTATTGATCACACCTTGATCATGTGTACCGGTAAATAACGATTGATCAAGATATGACCATATACGGTCAATAACAATGCACTGGTCAAGATAATTATGACCATATTATGGTTAATAAACTTAATAACCACTGATCAAGATATGACCATACAGGAAATATAACCATTGATCAAGATATGACCATACATGATAAATAGTTATCTAGTCATATACAGGTATCTCTGGTATAACCATTGATCCATATATGTATATAACAACACAAATCAATATCAATCCAGTTATTACCATATACAATCAATAACAACTTTATCAATTTATGGCCATATGTATTTTGAAATTTCAAAACAATATATAAAGATCCATCAATAAATAACCATATATGATCAATAATGATCCGTCATTTATCCAGTTACAAGTAGTTACAACCCATATGATAATAATCCATCAACAGTCTATAATATGTACATTTAAAAGCACATTCAGCATGATAAACATCAATATCTCATTAATAACTCTTAAATTAGTTCAATACAAATGTTTTACTTGTTATATAATATTTTGATATCTGTCTATGAATAATGATGTCTGTGTACAAAAAATGGTAGTTCTTTGAACAAATATGTACACAGATTTTTAAACTTAACAGCTTTTATGAAATACATGTAAATATTTACACAGATTTCTTTCTCTGATGTTCACTTTTAAACGTTAAAAGGTCAAAGTTGAAATGAACATATTCATCAAAGCTCAATGCTAATTGGACACTTAGAACGTCACATGACTAGAAACAAAATGACAAATAATAACTATAATAATAATAATACTCCATTATTTTCAAGTGCATTACATAGTAACCCCATCCCTTCAAGATACGATCCCAATTCTTTTCTTAAAATACGGGCAGATTACATTCTAGATTCCAAACTATTTTCTCGATTTGTACATGTAGCTAAACCCACTATCTACCATGTTTATATGAAAGTAAAACAGAACAAACCACTACCACGGGCAGTTCCAAACTAGTTTGATCAGATCAATAGAAAGTTTCCAAATTTTGAAACCGAAAGCAGTTTCTTTGGGATAAATTCGCCACTAGATTATGACTTACTTCAGAAAGATCTCAAAGGATTTCTGTTTTTTAACTACTCTTTATAACCTATATCTAAAAAAGAAACTAGCATTGCATCAGTACTAGGAAAGCTTTACACTGTTTTGGTTTTTTTTTTTTAATTCAATCTTACTGGACTTTTCACAATCCCTATTTTAAAAAAAGAAAATTGATGAAGACTTCGAAAACCATTACATCTTAAAACCATGGAGCGAAGTTATGAATACAACACTCCAAAGCAAGAAAACAGACATATTTTCTCTGTCAAATATTAACAGTTACATTTTACTTGCACACCATTCTTCCACTATAAGTTCACTAACATAATAAATAAGTACTCTCTATAGGAATATGTATAGTATATACAATTTTTATAGGTCATTTACAATTCTATACAACAAATGAATTATTAATGCTTCACAATGATGTCTAAGCTTAACAAATCCCCCACCCTTAACTGCTCCACCCTTATCAAATCTGAACAAAGTCCTTCTCCTTTATTCTAAATCAAAGCGTACAGACTTTGAAAATTATGGTTTCAAAATTAGTCCTTATGAAGTCTACTTTGTCTGCACATCAACATAGGTCCTGAGTTTTTGAAGAAGAATTCTGATTAAAAGGATGGGGAAGTTGCCATTATAAATGTTGTGTTTACAACAGACAATGAGTGGACAAACTATATGAAATATAACAACAATTAAAATCTTTTGATCTCTGGAATATCCTGAGTCAAGAGTCATATATCAATTTCTGCCATACTGTCTTATGCAGCTCATGAAATTCATAAACATTCATGGATTTAAGAGTTGAGAATTTTAATAACACAAACTGAAAGCTATGTGAACTTTCAGGTTTTTTTTTACAAAGATCAAGTTACAATAACAGAACTTATACAATTTTAATAAATGTTTTGTTTACAACCCTAGTTTTATTCGATTCAATTATCTTTATTGATACGAACAAAATATGAGGTAGATTTACACATAAATGATCTAATGTTTCAACTGTAAATAGTCTCTATAATTCCTTTTTTTTGTAAAATATCAAAAACAGAGAAAACATAGCAACCAATTGTTTGTTTTAACCAATTGTTTTGGGGTTTTTTTTTGGTAAAACAATCTACCAGTTTGATCAAATTTATGGACAAATATGCATCAACTATTAATTAAAAAATAGTTAATGCATATTATTCATTCAAAAGTAAAATGTAATAAAAAAAAAATTCAGATCTGATATAAAATATAAATATCAAAGTTTTAAATAACTTGTTCCTGTCTTGTCAGATCTACAAAATTATGAGTGAATAAATAATCTAGACAACCAACAACGCAGTAATATCTATTAATTCATTAAATTTATGTTTAATTATGTTCAATTCTTAATTATATTTTATTATGTTCAATTCAAAAGGGATTCATTCTTCGCCTACAGTAATAATATCTGATTTATGTTCAATTCTTATTTATATTGACCTATGTCCACTTCAAAAGGGGTCAATTCTAAATAATATTTATGTCCAATTCCAAAAATTATTTCTCAATAATATCTTTTTATATTAACAAAATATATGCAATTATACTATTATAGGTACCACATGAAATATTTGAACTCATATCCTACGAAAAAAAAATAATAGTCAAATAACAATAGGGTATATATAATATGAACATGAAAATACGAAGTCATAACAAAAGTATAATATAAAACAATTCAGACTTACAAAATATAAAACAACAAATGCACAAAGATATAATAATATAATGTAGACACAACACAAGTAACAGGTTTAAACAGTTTCAAAGGATTACCTCCCTTTATGAAAACAAGAGATAACTCTCTTCTCCTTAAATTACACATGTACAAAATGTATTTACAGAGATATATGTGAACACAAAATATTCTCAATAAAGCCATATTAATGCAATACCATTAATGATTTTTTTTTTAAGTACCGGTATATGGCCTGACCACATGGTGAATAACGGGGATAAATATTATGATATCAAGATTATGCATTTATTATCTTTGGAAAGCCTCAAATATATTTGATATAAGAATATTAAAATCAAATTCACCATATCCTAAATATTTGATATAATATTATGTAAAGCTATATTTAAAATAAGGATTATAATAAAATATCAATTAAGCTTTAAAATTTTTAAAAATCTTAATCTTTGTAAGTATTAAAATGGCCTACAGTTCACTTTGTCAAGTGGTCTCATGAGCCCTATTTAACAGAAAAGAAAATCCACTTGAAACACACAAATAGGCATCAGGGAGTACTTTTCAGTTATTGTATTATTTGGATGGATCATTAAAAAATAAGAGACAACTTGGCAAAGAAACAATATCATAATGAAAACTTCTAAAAGTTTTGACACACTGGATTCGTAAATTTCCGAAACACGGTTACACCTTCGGCAAAAACTTAATTTTGAAAGTCTTGTTAGCAGCTTTGGTTTCTGACATTTGGCCACATTAAAATAATATCAATATACGAAAAAAAAAAAAATTAATTTATATAAATAACATTATAGTTTAAAGTAATTAATTTATAAAAGAAGCAAATTCATATTAATAAAACTATTATAAACAAATGTGTGTAGAATTAATATTATGAATATTATGCCATATATGTATGATAATCAATATTTATTACAATTAATCAAGCATGAATTCATCTGAGCACTAAAGTATCTTTCTTGGACCAGCAGATTTGAAAGTTGAACACAGAATTCTACAATTCAACAGTATATCATTTATCTCCATGGAAAGTGAATACTCTTGAAGGAATTTTTCCCAATGTACATGTTTAACAGAAGGCTTCTAATACCATTCAGATCATTTTTGCCACTTAATGTCTAGCTCCCATTTAAATGTTCAGCTCTGCAATTTATGTATTGGTCAATTTACATGCCAGAAATTAAAACATTAATTTTAAAAAAGGCAAAATATGTAATGAAATCTGTAAATCAACAAAATAAAATTAGCTTACTTATTTTAATATTGTGTTTGTCAAATAACAGACCATATATGGAGGGATTCACTCTTCTGTAACTGAATATTGTTTCAGTGCCCAAATGAATACAATTTGAATTATATGTAATTCTCCTAGCTATATGCAATGCATCCAGCTAATATGAATATTGTGTCTGAAAATATATACCCACTGGTTTGAAACATTCTTTTGTTGACAAATATACATAGCCATTCATTACAAATGGTAGGAAAAATATTAAATTAAAAAATTAACAAATTTCTCATTTGAGATGTCACATGCTTAGTAACTGACTTCTGCTGTACAGCTAGTAATAAAATTCACTTTCTGTATGGGGAAAACCTTTTGCCATATGTATGTTGAAATATGGGCTCTTTCATCTAGAGAGCTTTACATGTAGTAATTTAGAGTTCAGTGATAGTTTTAATTTAATTTTCTGATAAAAATTTGAAGAGTTTAAAACTAAATTCTTAAAACAACAAAAAGAACATTTTAAGTTCTTGTCTAACTATTAAATAGGAATATATCTTCAGACTAAGTAATGATGCCCTAAACAAACAAACACTCACTCACACACACATTTTACAACATAAGCATTTAACTTGGCACATGTATAATACTTCAGTAAATTTCTCTTTCAAACAATTCATAATTTGAGCAAAGGTGACACTGACCTTTCCTACAGTATTATGTCTTTGGTTTGACAAGTGTCCAAATCATAAATTTTCGCACATTTAAGAAGCACAAAACAGGAGCATAAGTAGTTTTTTTTTTGTCACAACACCTTTGGCTTAGTTTTCTTTTTTATTAATGCTCCATTAAAATGTCTCTTGAAAACAAAGTGTCTCATTTTTTTTGTGTCTTTCGATCATAGGATTTTGTGCCGAAGCGACTGATATAATACCGAACAGATCCTCTATGCATAAATTCTTTGCATCAAACTGACTCCTATTTTCAGTAAGCATATTTCACAACTTTTTTATATCTTCAGACTCCATCTTGAATTTCTGCTTGAATAAAAGACATGGCTCCACAAAAGCAAACACAGCGTGATACAAATAAAAATTATTTTGGAGATTCTTCTGGGTGTATCATATATTGTATATTGTTTTTAAAAAAATGTAGACAGTGACTATGAAAACCAATGTGTTTTACTGATATGTAGAATAATTGTTAATAAGAATAAGATGGGCGTACTCTCTATATTCACAGCACTGTTTGGATTGTTAACCGAATTTAGACTAGCTTTTCTAATGGGAGCCACTAATAATGGAGTCAATGTTAAATAGGACTGGAGTAAGGGACTACCAGTCCGGATCAAATGTTCTAATCTCTGTGCTTCACTATTACAAGCTTCCAACTGAAAAAAAAAGAAAGAAAAAAATTGATTCGTCAGTCAATATAGAAAACAAAATGACAAAGCAAGTAAGTCCTCCTTTGTAGTAACACAATTTGCCAATTTTTAAGGAGGAGCTGGGTTGATCAATGTATATGTCACAATTTTTCGGAAGTGAAGGACAATTTCCTTCAACTACAATATGGTTTAAAAGATCTAATGATATTTCAATCGACTGGTATATTTTTTCTGTCTGAATACGTTTGAAGATTTACCTGTAAATCAGTTGGTTCTTGAACCACCGTAGTTATAATAATAACTAACCCTCCTTCAATACTTAAATACCCATATATATCACATTCCGCTACTGTTAGATGATTGGATAGCTCATCTAATATTACCCGCACTGTAATTGGACCTTCATCCATAACCTTTGCTGCTGATTGAACCTGACGGGGATCGAATAATGCTTGTAGTTCTGCAGCTAAAATAAAATAAAGCAATACTATAGGTTATATTTAATATATTGTTTGCAACTAAGAAGTGAATGCCAATCTTGAAATATTCCAGAAGATTCTGACTGCATGGCTACCAATTTTGAAAGAGCTCTTCATATAGGTACATGTACAGTAAACCTCACATAAATCAGATTCATATAAGTCAGATCTGCGCTCAACTCTTATTAAGTCAGATCTGCATGTATTTCTTATTAAATTTCTGAGATTTCAACAGGGATCAAAATGTTCCTTCCATTTGATCTAATTCCGGGTTTCTTCCTTCACCTAAGTCGGATTGGCAGTATGTTCAGAACTTCACTGTCGGTTTCGTCCCGATGGTCTAAAATGCGTTTAGGTATTCCATGCACAGAGCCCAAAATACTTTCCTGTATCATTTTGACTCAAATCAACCTATTTGACGCGACGCAATAATACAATTTCCCCAGAAAATTCAAAACTCGCTGTCTGCTGTACAAGACACTTTCCGGGAAAATTTAGGACATTTTTCAAAGATGTCGACAAAACGGAAGTTATCTACTCACACATACGAACAAAGGCTTGAAATGTGCCTTTGAATCAATTATTATCTGGCTCTTGCAGTTTATTTCTAATCGAGTTAAGATTGAATTTTGGTCTTCGGCTAACTCGGATCTTCGCTTAACTCGGATAAAATTGGTCAGTCCACTTAGATCCGACTTATGCATAGTTTAGTGTATTTCAATAGTTCTGCAGCATTATAATGGTAATTTTACTATTATTTGGTTCAACATGTAGCATGATAGTCAGTAAGGCACGTTTAAAACATGTTCCAAGTCCTGGATCCTAGATAGATGTAGTTTTACTCACCACAAACTGGACAACAGCCACCAGGCGGAAGCAGACCCTTGCAGTTGTTAGGTTTTAACGGCTGACACCTCACATTGGTACAATGACTTCGACCAGCTAAAATATATGAACAAATATATTGTTTAGTCCTCGGTACAATGATGCTTAAACAGTACACATTGGATTATTAATTTCCTATGAACTTTTCATGTTTTTTCCCCAATCCCCATCAACTTTTCCATTTTTCCATTGTCATTTAGCAAAATGGTCCTGGAGTGAATTTTCCTCTATCATTACAATCATTGGAAGGCATGACAATAAGGACTATTTAAAGATGCATTATGTAAAATTTTGATTAAGACCTGACAGTTCTCGCTATAACAGTTTAAAAATAGATATGAAAAAAGAATATATTGAAAATTTCAGTCCAATTACTTTATTCTGAGCGAAGTTATGAATGTTGGAAGCTTTGATAAGAAATAGCCTAATCTAGATTTTCATTGCTATTGTTGTTACGAAAATAAACAGTCTTTGTCATCCATTTTTAAATCAAATTAGAGTTGATTATGGGTTTGTCATGTTAAAAGATGATACTTTTTTCCACGGAAGTCTGGCCCTAATCTTATACTCCACATCAACTTATATGGATGAAGATAAAATTACATTCCGAAAAAATAATTCTCAGTTCCCAACTGTCTTGAGTGACATTGTCTGCTAAATAATAGCACTTGTACGGTCAACAAACTTTTGCTATCATGGTTTCAATTCCCCAGTTGTACGTGATAAGGAATGGGGTCGCCTTTCCAACCTCATGGGTTTTCTCTTGGTCCTCCAGTTTCCACCCACCACTAAAGACTCCTACACGCAAGCAAATCATTGAAATAAAATTGAACCATATGTTAGTCCCAAAATGAACTAGTTTGTGTTGAGTGGAATGGAGTCTTAATCTACTTATGGTATTCCAATATAAATACATGTCGACATTTCTAAACATATACAGCTTGTATAACTTTTATTTAAAAACATAACAACCATTCAAAATATAATCATAAACGATAGAAGATTCCATCAAAATAGATGTATTTTAACTAGCTTCATCCAAGCTTTATACATGCAAATGATGTTATAATAAAGACAATGCATGAGGAATGTTCCCCTTTACATTTCATTACACATACGTTCTCTGTACACTTCCAACCATCCTATATTTTTGTTTTCTCCTCAATATTTATTTTTACTAATTATCAATCATCTCCTTTTCTTAATTCTCGTATTTTCTAAATAATTTATATTATTCCCACATCTTTGCATGTATTTTTTTTTTTTTTTTTGCAATAGTTTAAAATATATGTTATTATACAGTGATTGTAAGTTACCTGTAATATTGCCCAGTGCTCGACATTTACCAGGATAATCTATAGTAGTTCTATCAGCTAGAGCAGCACATTGACTAGAATATGTTTCACCATTATGACCACATACTTCACCCTGATTAGAACAACCCAACTGAAAACAAACCAAAATAGTTATCAGGAGTTGATATACCATTAATATTTTTTAGTTTTGTTTTGTTAAACAGTTAAAGGATCTAAGCCTCTAACTCAAAATTTTCCATTATATTCGAAATTAAAAACACAAATTAGAATTCAATATTCCATTTTAATCAATATAGATGTTGTTATATTGGTGTGAAAAAGTGGGATCATAATATTCAATATTTAAGACACAATGACCGTTTTAAAATGTAGTACACCAGTCGTGTACCATATCGCTTCAGGCACAAAATCAATGAACAAAGAAAAACAAATCCTAAATTACAATACGACAGCAAATACAAATGGCCGATTCACAAATGATAAAATTATAATAAAAAAAACGTTTAGATTGTTCACGTATTTCACCGAACATAATTGATTAGAAATTTTAAAAAATTGAATTTAAACCACTTTATATACACTTATATTACATTAATATGTGCTTTTTAAAAAATAGAGTCATACGCCCTTTAAATAATCAATTTGAGTACATTTTAGTTTGGGATAAGCCATGAAAAATCAATCAGAGATTGTCAAAAAAATGCTAGCGGCATTAATTTAAAACTAATAGTTCAATGTTCTAAATGTAATAATGACTGTTGACATTGTTTACTTACCATACAATGTCCTCTATAAGCTAGAGTTCTCTCATGGGAGAAGAGGATACAAGCATTCGTAAATTCTTCTCCTGTTGTATCACATACAGAATCATGATAATGTGGATTACAGGTTGTACTCTCAGACACTGCAAAATAAAACAGTAAAACAATGGAATGGGGTTTAATGTCTCAACCAAAAATATTTTGGTCATTCTGAGACAAAATAGTAATATTCATTTCTGTGGTTGTTTATGCGATGCCTGGTATGAGAATTTTGCCTGGACAGCAGCATTCCCACCTACATGCAGTACTCTTCATTAATTTCCAACTGTCAAGTGTTCTTTTACATGCAAGAATACAAGGGTGGACCTTAGTTTTTCATGCTATCCTAATGACTAGACATCTACTTTGAAAGACAGGTGTAACAAATCCTGAAAGTTCTTCTCTCAGCCCAGGCCGTGATTCGATCCCACATTATTCTATTCAAGAGTCCGGTGCCTGCTTGACAGCCACGACATCCTGATAGGTATAGCACAATATTTTTAGCAATCTACAGAAAGACGGTATTCAAAACCATGAGCAACAATTGTTCAATTTTATTTAATAATTTATTCTTTCAATTCAATGAGCTGGAACTTGTGAATGTTTAAATCCTACTTCTACACATGCCATTCAAAAATTTATAACAATCTTGTGTTTCAAATAGAAAAATTATAGCTTTACTATATAAAATCTTACCACATTCAAACTGGTTACAAAACTCTCCAGGTTGTAAACTTAAACACACTTGTCGTCTAGCTACACATCTGTTAAAAATAAATCAATTTTAAAATAAAGGATAGCTCAAATTTACTCAATAACCTACAAATTGTAGCCTACATATATTGTTAGAGAAGGAATCGTGTAAAATAAACAAAAAGGTCATCAAGGAACCATAAAGAGATCTTAAAATCCCCTAATTTCAAAAGTGAACATTGCCCCAAATCCTTTGTTAGAAGATAATGATCTTATATATTACTCACCTGTTACCTGTTCCACAGATATTATTAATACATGGATCTATGCTAGAACATGATCCTTTTTGTAAATCATTGTCTTTAAAACCTGCACATCTGTCAACAACAAAATACATTTAGCTATAGATAGTAGACGTGTATAAGGCAGAGTATGCTTTGTCTTTAAAATACAGATATAAATTACATTTTGATTTTTACTTGTACATAAAAAATATATAAATTTTTGTTATAATGGCCATTCACTGCAACAAGTTTCAGTAACTGGATAGAGCAACAAACTATAACACATACTTATGGAAAAACAGCTACTAATTTATTTGGGCGATGTTTTAAGTGTATTTTTTCAAGTTTATATCAAGCTATTATTATGTCTTGTCTATTACACATACTAAATACACTTACTTGGCTAAACAATGATTAGGATAGGTTTTACCATTACTGGCACAAACAGGTCTATAATGTGCTGGACAATTACCTGGCATATCTATATAACAGAAAAAAACCTGTTTAAATATCTAATATGCAAATAACATAATACCAATCGACTTATTATGGTTCCTTAATACATATGGTCAATACAGTGACTCGCAAGCTAAATATTTGCGTATGTCTATAATTTCGGAGTTCTTAAAATTAAATTACAGACTTTATCACCTACCAAGCGGTAAATGCAAACCTGCGGAAAAATGCCGGGTATAACTAATAAAACAATTAAAAATACAGAGATGAAAACAGTCTCCAATAACCGAATATTCCACAATAAAAGGTATGGGGCAAGTGAATGTCAAAACCCTGTCCTTGATAACTTACCTGAAATAGCTGATGTAGATGCACCCATCTGAGGTTTACAAGTATTTTTAGAACAGATCATATCACCATCATGACAAACACATAAACTACTATCAATATTAAAATGGCTGCCACTTTCTGTAAAAAAGAAAATTGGTTATCGATTGGATTGACTGAAAAGGGGCGGGTTAAAGTAACTCTTTCTTAAGGATTTGATAACACTTTTCATCAATTTCATAAGGTAAACACAATTGACCTATCAATTTTTGTTTCTATCTAATATTTGAAATAATCATATCTTTTAAATGAAGAAATGAAATGAATTGATTTATGCTAACACCTGATACTTCTCTCAAGACATGTAGTTGTTCAAATGAAACTATTTATATTTAGTATCTCACACTTGTATTAACCACAGTAAAAGCACCACACAATAAAAGTAATAAAATCATGTTCTGTACCTTTTCTGTGTCCTGGACCGATGACACACTGTTTATCATCAAAACATGGCAACTGTTTGCAATTCTCAATCTTGTTTCTATGACTACAATGACACGCTTTAAAACATTGTTTTTTAGACTGGCTACCAGTTTGTTTTTCTGGGATACGGACATAAGCTCCTCTAGGCACTAGAAATGTGGACACTTGTCCCAATACACAACCTGGAATAATAAGAATTGTTACATTAGCAGACAGACTACATGGAAACTTAATGGAAAAGGTATCTGACGATTTTTTTGATAAACTAATGATAATATTACAATAATCTAATACAAATATATTTCAAAAGACACTATTATTTTATAAATGATTACATTATTTTAGTGGAGTAATTTCAAAACTTTTAACAACCTGCAATCATATTCTTTTTACAATTTCTATATAGGAAACAGATGAACTCTATAGACTAGTACTACTAATGCTTTGCTCAGTCAGAGGCTACGCTTCTACTTACCGGCTTTGCAAATATATGGTTTACAATCTTCTGAATGTTTACATTTTCTCCTCCTGACTCGACACACTTCACCCTTCCCACATGGGTCTGGATTACAGGGAGACGTTACTTCATTCTCACGACCAATATCAGCACTTTTACCTGAAAATTAAAACTAAACTCTTAAATACCCCCATAATGGATGAGAATTTTACAGTATAAGCATGTGGATGTTCCACAAGTAAAATTGATATTAAAGATTTTAAGATTACTAAATGTCCACTCTGGGAATACATCTTTAACCCTAGACCTTCAATTCACCTTTTCCGTATTTGTTTGTATTAACAAATTTTATTCATGTTTCAGAAATATTGAAGTTATTTCCCTTTACAGAGAAGCAGCTTGAAAAATCTTTCAAATAGTTATTTTTGTTTGGTTCAGCACTGTGCAAGACTCAAATCGAAAAGAATGATACTTTTTATCTACAACTTTCAATATATAGTTAGAAGATGGAGTAGAAGCAGTATCTAGGAAATTCTTCTGACTTACTGAGGTATTTAGAAACAGATATACAAGCACCATCTTCTGTACGTGAAGGTAGAGCATTACATAACTGCGGTACTGTTTTATCTTCTGTTAATCTACTTTTATCTACACATTCATTCAAAATATATATACAATCTTCCCTAAAAAATAAAAAAACAGCAATTAAAATAGACAAGCTCCCTTTTTAAATCTATTATAAATATCTCTAATATTTCTAGAAACAACCAAATAAATCCCCTTTTTACACCTATAATCATTATTTATTTGACCAATATCTACACAATAATGAATTGACAAAAATAAGTATAAAAGTTAACAACTGTAATTAATTCATAAAGATTAACAAAAGAAGCACAATATATACATACATGCATAAAGATAAGGGACTTGGTTTTTTCAAACAAGGTTTGATTTGAAGTGCACATGCTATGGCCTTCCATACATCTGGTTTACACTGTCGAATATCTGAAAGAAAACCAAATTCACACCATAAAAACACAAAACATATTAGATGAAATGCAGAGGGGGGGATTACATAAACCAAATTGTTAACAGATCCCATGACTTTTACATGTGGAAAACATTGAACCTCATTTTTCCTGGAACACCTGAGGTAATATATTCATTATTGTGTCAATTAAAATCAATTTAACAATCTAACCTAAATAATTGTATCAGTTTTTCTAGCAGATACTGTTTGATTTGTACTCTATATTATATAGAAATCATATCCGACCACACAAATTACATACATATTGTACAAAACAAATTAATTGCCATACCTCTGACTGGTATAGTCATTTGTGGAAGTGATATAAGACCATTCTCCCATTCCTTCACTGCATCTCTAGCAGCTTTATCTGCCTGTGAGTTACAGCTTCGAAATAACTGGGTTGGTCGATGATTGAAGTTGGAGCAAAAATCTAAACCTTTACATCCCAACTGACATGGTTCTTCAACTGAAATGAAACAATACATTTTTAGAATGGGTTACACTACTAGATTTCACACATTTTGTAGTACTTTAGGTTTTATGTATTACTTAATGTTTAGGTAATTCATACTTCCCCTGGTGCTTAATAGACATTGAAGAAATATGTATATTTTATATAAGTATGTTTTATTCTTTTCTTACCATCAGTAAGACAACTATGCATGGAAGCCTCAAGAACAGACACAGGCTGAATATAAGAACAACTTTGATAAAATTCACTTGAATGTTGAACCCAATCCAGGTTGTATGTCTGAAAAAAAACCCCAAAATATTCTTTGATTCAATTCAAAATATTCTATGATTCAAATCGAAATATTCTTTGGTTCAAATTAAATATATTGTGTTGCCTTAAAATGAGTTAATATATTTCACTTCACTCAGATTAAAACAGATGCCAGTTATCTTCAGTTTGTTGTACCACATTAAAATATGATACATTTTCTTTGAAGCGTCCACAATAGATTGAGTAATCAAATTGGCTGTACTGGTATACATGTACAAGGCTACATTCTGTGCGGAATTATTGCAAAATGCTTATATAATCATTTTGATGATTGACCTATACAAATAATACTCTTACACACTATGATATCACCATTGTTGATGTGGAACAAGAAAATAGATGACAAAGAATACAAGAATGATAGTATGTTGCATAACATAATTGAAATCTAATTATATTTAGAAAGACTTCGACATGGGCATTCCTTTAATATAACTGTATTTGTGTTGTAAACAGAACAGACAATTTTAATCAAAATAGATTTTATCAGAAATATGAAAATGTGTTACTCAACAATGAAAATAAACCAACATTATTAACTGCATAAAATTGTTACAAAAAAGTCTACAAATATCTATTTCGAACTCAGAAACAAAAACATTACAGTCTGTATTTGATCTTTGGACAAGAGTAACTCCCCATTTTTTCTTTGTATTTACAGTAAACACATGTGTTTTGTTACTTCCATGGTCCAAGTTTTGACAGGCAGATTTAAAATTAGATGTGTTACTTTTACAATGCAACACTTAACACAAAACTCATGTAGAAGTCATGCACATTTGCATTAAGTCAAAAAAAATCATTGCTGTTACATCTGTTTACTAATATCAGGAATACTAGGTAAATTCTCGGCTAAATTTATTTCTATCTCTTTCCAAATTTCTCTTGCATTCAATTTACCTGAGTAATCCCAAATATATCATGAACAGTAATTGAATGTTACATAGGAAGATGTGCAGTCTATTTTTAAAATATATAACGGAATGACTAAGCGCACTTTCCCCTGACAGCCTCACAGACACAAAAGGCAAGGGACAATAATCAAATCATCTAAATCTTCAAGATTTAAAAAAAAAACATACTCATAATAAGAATTATTGATATGAGTTATAAGATTTTGAGAGAAATTAATAATATAAATTAAAAGACATTTTTAGAGTAATTGTTAATATGAATTCAAAACTTATCTGGGAAAATTATTTTTATAATCTATAAGTATGAAATGTTAATTATCTAAATGCAACTTGCTACTATTGAGAGAGACAACAAGAATTGGGGTTTAACGCCCACTCAATACTATGTGAATTTGGGACCAACTTATGGTATTTTTTTTAAAAATTCACCAGTGCATAGAAGCATTTAAAAATGGGAGATCACCTGAATACACAGAGAAAATAATTTAGGTTCAGACAGGGACTCTATTCCATGTCACCTAGAAAGATCAAACCCATGACATGTATAGATAACAGGTCTTAATTTCTCCAGCACACTTTAGGTATCCATCAGCCCAACCCACATAACCATTAAAACTTACCCAGGTACACAGATCACGACATCTACTGGTTTTGGCTTTAGCACAACACTGTAATTTAGCGCTGTCTAATCCTGTTACTAATGGAGTCTCATTTCTTTTACCAGGTGGTGTCGCTAGAAAACATTGCCATAATGGAGCCTGAAAAGTTAAAATCAGAAAAGACTTAATCAATGTTCTAATACATTAAGTAATGTTCTTTTTTCATGGCATTCAACTGTTTAAAATTGAAATATGTCCTCACCAATATAATGCACATTGTTTTTGGACAACATTATCTCCGGTACAGTTTCCATTTTGGAAGTCAGCATATAATTTTGGACATTTTATATTGGATTATAATACCATTTATAAACTAAGTGATGAGTGGGGCACAGTATGCTTATGTGATTTTACTCATGGAGGAAGTCCACTTGCTGGTGCTTGAATTTGAGAAATCAACTCAGTATCAGTATTTTGGTTACTGATTAGGATCAACAGCATTTGTCCTTCTTTTAACGATGATTTCTACTTTGGTTATCCTTTGCTTGTCACAATTCTTAATTTCAATGAAGTAAAGATAAATTGGGTTTAATATCTAATCGCCACTAACCAGGAATGGAATGGTTGGACATTTGAGACAAAAATAAAGCCATTTTTATTTCTATGCGAAAGGGAGCAATGAAAGGTTGGAGAATTTTGCCCTTCTACCTACAATTTCCAAATGTCATGGGTTCTTTTATATGAACCCTAATGGGTACACAAGTGGACTCAAGTTCTCATCCCATCCAAATAACCAAGCTTTGTTCATAGGTGCCACACCTGGAACACGCTTGAAAAATCCTGAAGGTTGTTCTCAGCCCATGTCTAGTTTTAAACCAAGACTGGGATCAAACCCATGAATCAAATAGATAACATGCCTTATGATCTACAGAACATGGTTCGCTGACTATTATAACGATCCACTAACTGTGGTTATATTTTGTTTAATTTGTTGGGTTTTTTTTAATTTTATTAAATGTATTTTTCTCAGTATTTGGAGCCACATGTAGGCCCACATATTGCTGTCTGTGTTGTATACAATATACTATACATGTGTTTGTCAGGAAATAATGACTTCCCCCTTCCACAAAATACACACTACCAAACTTATACCAGACATACGGCTTAAAATAGCTTCTTGAACATAACCAACAGACACAATACCACTCATTACATCAACAATCTGCTTTACAATTTTACAAAATGTTTATTCGGCAAAACATAACGAATTCCTCGATGGTTGTTTTCTATATTTGCAAGGAATGGAACATGAGTCTAGGAAATGTCTTCAGCAGTCAAAAAAAAACATGGCAGCTATCGACTAGTTTGTTTTTTCGGACTAACATGTGCAGAGTGAAAGTATGGCGTGTACAACTTCTGGAAGTAAAGTAAATGTAAGAGAAGCTCTCTTTCTTGCGTCTGCTCTCACTAGGGTGGTAGTGAGGCTAAGACAATAAACATCTGCTCTATTGTATGTAGAGTTATCATGAAGCGTGTATGTATATCAGACAGACTGTAAGTAAGGCAGACGATACTAGAGTCAGTTGTTTTAAGATGGAGTGATGCATGAAGACAAGTCAACAAGTACCCAATAGTAGTGAATATAATGTAAATTCATATGGCATCATTTTCTAACACCCTAACAAAATAAGCTAAAAATACTGACAAGTAGAAAAGAATATTACAGTAAACTGAATAATACTGAAAAAACAATCAGTTAAAAAAGCATTATCACTGTTAACAAGAACATAATGTAATCAATTCAATATAACATAAATGTAATCAATTCAATATAACATAAATGTAATCAATTCAATATAACATAAATGTAATCAATTCAATATAACATAAAAATTTAACTAATTCAATATCGTATTCACAATAGACCAGGGTACAAGCAAATCACTAAGGGGTGGGTCAGAAGGGGAGGTGGGGAGTCTCTCCCCCTGGGCTCGAACATTGTCTTGTTGAAACGTTAGTCCAGGCCCATAAACGGAAGAAGAACAGGTTGCAAAATCTGATCCCTGTACTGGACAGCATTTAAGTTCCCTTGGACAACAACAAGAGGAGAACGTCCATGTGCACAAAAAGAACCCCAAACCATGACGCTGCCGCCACCAAATCGGTCAACTTCTCTGACGCATACTTGGGCGTAACGTTCACCTCGTCTGCGGTACAGTACACTCAGGCCCTGCCATCGGCAAATCTCAAAGTGAATCGAGATTCGTCACTAAAGACAACCAAATTCCACTGTCTTTGAGTAAATCTTATGTGTCTTGTGGCCCACACAAGTCGGTTACGGCGATGGAGAGGTGTCAATATTGGTCCATTATAGGGCCTCCGAGCTCGAAGACCAGCAGCCTGCAAGCGATTTCGAACAGTTTGTGCAGTTACCCTTCCACCAAACATCTCTCTACTTGTGGAGGTTGCAGTGACAAATCTGTTTCTAAGATGACGTAATCGTATTGCTTGATCTTCCTGGAGTGACGCCACACGTGGCGCTCCCGCCCTTGGGCGGTCGGCAATAGTTCCACTTTGAAGCACTCTCATTCTAAGATTAATTATTGTCTGGCGTAAACAATTAAAGGCTCTTGCAACAGTGACCACAGACTGACCAGCATAGAGCCGACCTATAACACGCAGTAAAGTGCCGCGAAAAGGCCTCAAACAAAGAGTTTTTTAATTTTCTCGCCAAAACTATGGAACTAATCTAAAGTAAATATAATTATTGGCACGAGTTCCAAATACTCTCAAAATGCGTAGCGACAAAACTAAACAAATAGCAACCAATTTACGGCAGCAAAATGAGCAATGGCTGACATTTTCGTTTGCGCACGTACGTACAGCATCTAATACAATACTTCAAATGCAACACAACCTGGAAATTTAATTTCAAGATGGGAATACGCCTCGCCGATTACTTGGAACACTCTCTCGAATAAATGTAAAAGCAGATTTACGGAATCACAGGAGAAAAAATCCCGTACAATGTGAGGATAATCGCCATGGGGGGCATGATTAAATCAATACCAATATTTAGTCGTTATGCAAAACTAATTTTTTACACCCCCCCCCCCCCCCTATTCCTAATGTAGAAATACTATAGAATCTAATAAGCACACCAATTATCTTAGATGAAACAGTATTGACAAAAACTCTCGGAATGGGGAACACGTCACAAGGATATTTTTTAAAATCATGCTAAGTTAAAACAAAAGAAAAGTGATACTGCCAGTTACTACTGGACTGGTAATTTTAATTATTTTTTACATTACTAATTATTTCTTTCTGTAGGCTACATATTCAATTTTGGTTTAATTACATAAATAATTTTAGATATGGTACCATTGCTTGTGTATATTTTATCTATTACCCATTTAATGCAATTTTTGTATTGTTGGGCCTGCAGTTCAGTGTATCATTTCTAAATTAATTTCCCTTGGAAGTGCGAATTTATGCGTTTTTCGAAATCTACTGCCAAATCATGGTTTCTACTGCATTTTTTACACTACCCTACTGCATTTCAGCCCTGGGGGGTTGACGGGTCTGGATTGACCTCACGAGTTTGTGTTTGCACGTGTTTTTCAGGTTTTTCATCTTTATATGCTCAAAAGTCCAGTGATCCACGTGACTTTACAATTTTATGAAATTAAAGGCTTCTTACTACTTACTATCGTTAGAAACACTTTAAATTTTATTTGACTTACCAGAAAAAAAAATTTGAAATTCATCAGTGTCAAGTTTTTAATTTGGCTGAGTAAATTATGTAATGTTCTCATGTAATCATACTAAAGAACTTGCAGACAAAAATCATAATTTATTCTCAAATCCTAAATATTTACATAAAAACATTCACTGCAACATACTTGTTAAGTTTTTATTTATGTTATTAAATCCATTTATCTATGACATTTTGTTTTATCACCACAGCAACAAGACACTTTTTCTAGTTTGTGTGATAATGACTGGCAATGATAGAGAAAAAAAAGTCAAATCCAAATGAGACACGATTCATTTGAAACATCAGTTCACTTAACGTCAAGTTAAATCTGGGTTTTCTTGGTGTATGTGATAATACTGACATTGAAGAGTTAATTGATAATAATACATGGCAACTTCCTGAGTATCTAACATCATGATCTGGTGTAGGATAATCACTGAAAACATACATCATAATGCAAAACAAATAATCCTTTATTCAAGTATAACATGTTAAATTTTTTCTCAATTTAAACGGAAATTACAATCTTATAAATGATCAAGTTTGTTCAATTATATATTTTATTTAATAAATCAGATAAATACTAAATTGGTTTCAAGATTATTTTTCAAATATGTAACAAAATAATTTTAATTTAATAAACGGAAATTACAATCTTATAAATGATCAAGTTTGTTCAATTAACTATTCTATTTATTAAAAGGGGGAATTCTATAAAGAATGTAACAGGAGACTTTTCAGAAAGTGGGACTTTTGTTCTTATTTTGTACATTTTTCATAAATTTAACATAATGGTAGTGAATTCAAGAATTCCGACCCAGCCCATAGCTTGGCTATGAGTATGGCTAGTTGATTTGAAAAAGGTAACAGTAGAATATAAAAAGTACCATATGTTAGTCTCAAATTGACCAACGTACATGTATTGATGAGACGTAAAACCCAATTCCATTTTCTCGAAAATGTTCAATTTAGGCTACCATGTTTATCCAAATACAACACTGACACCATTAACAACAATTGCCATGGGTTTATTGAAGAGATAACTTACAAACTAATAAATTTTCCACACGAATGTTGTCGACCATGTCAAAATCTTATTCACAACACCAGTTCCATTTAATAATCTGTCAATTAACCCCCAAAATAAAAGAAGAAACAAGTACCAACCCCTTCACCATTATTGAATTAGAGAGATAACTTTATCAACGGACAAAACATTTCCACCAACTTAAAACCAATGTGAATTATAAAGTTAAAGGGGAATGTGTCATCCTTACAGTCAGCAGTTACAGGCAAAGTCTCATTATAGGCAAGCACTCACCATTAAAAGAGTACATGAACAGACTATGTTAAGCATATGATTGCCTTCACAATAAACAAGTATGATCGTACTATGAACCAGACACTGATCATGTTGTTAGATGAAATTCAAAAATCTAATTCACCAAATCGATGCGGAATTGTTCAAAGAACAAGTATCTCAATTTTCATGCCGATCGGACTTGAATTGACGCAGCCTTAGGCTTATAGGAAGTGCGTCACCCAAGAAGAAGAACAAGATCAGTAGCGGGTTAGTGACCAATTCCTGGTCCAAAAATGTGATCACTGCAATCACCTTATTTAGATATTCAAGAATCAACTTAATGAAGAAACCAATCTCTTTTCTCACCATATTACAGAAGATCAGCAGTCACATATATGTAGGTAAAGTTTGTATAAATATATGAATTCAACGGAACATCTGAACAAACCCAACTCACAGACTGTATGAATTTTTGTGTGTTCCCTTATGACTTTAATAAATGGAATCAAATGGGGTTTAATGTTTTACTTTTCTGCACAAACCAAGTTCAAGAAGATGGGCATATGCCATACACTGTGCTACAAGGAAAATTTTACCATACAGAGCTGCTATGGCCTACTCTTATTTTGTTTAACATGCTACCGATGGTATACAGTTGACACTAATCTTTTTGTCTCATCCAAATTACTATATCAATATGCAGTTCCTTGCCAGGCAAATTTTGTGGTGTGGGGTGGGTGTGGGGTAAATGTGTAAGTAGTTGGCCTTGCCTAGGTTGTAGAATAGTCTGGCATTAACCCTATAATTTTTCTTGGCCAGGTGAAATTCTCCATTAAACATCATCAAAAGACTACCATAAACATCTAACAGAATTATGATTAAGTGCAAAATTACTGATAAGCACTATATCACCCTTTCAATATAAATTAACAAAGTAAAAAATATTCAATTTTGATGCAATTAATAAAGATTGAAATAAAATTAAAATCATTTGAACAGGAAATAAAAACAGTTATCTCCCAAGATTCACAGATACTTCCAATTCAGTATGTACGTATTGCTCTATCCAGAACAATAATTTGAGGATTAAATTGCCCATTTCCCTTTAAAAAATATTGGCGGCAAGTAATAGGATGAGAATTAAATAAAGCCGTCAATGCAGCTTATTGTATCTGATATCTTAAACCCCTCATGCTCTCATCTGATTAGCCGATTGTTTTCGGTCGGTCGGTGCACTCGCTGCACGCATACAGAATTTAATTTGACATTAAAAGAGTTGGCAAGCATTACGTACGACCAATTATTACAAAATATTGAACTCGTAATTCAATCAATTACGCAAGTCTGTTGCCCAGTTCACTTCTATCATTGTGCTACAGCAAGAAACAGACATTAAAGAATCATTCATGCCTGAAACTTCATTAAGCGTCCACCATTCTTTTTTCTCCCCTCAGTTAAAACAACCGCGTGAACAGATGCCATGGTTTTGTAACCTAGGTTCCATACATTTAACCCCCATCAGTACAAATATATTAAAATGCACGCTTTCATCTCCACTATCTAATTGTGTTTTATGATGACATCAATTTTTTCGGAAAACCTAATTTTGCGATAAAAATGATTAGATTTAATTTGGAAATTAAGTTTTAATCAAAATTTGTTATGGTGATACATGTGACATGAAAACATATCACGTTTTTTTTAACATACGTGACCGAGCCAGGAAATTAGCTTACAGAAACCAAGAAGCAAATTAGTTTACGCTTTGAAATGATTATTCCAAAACTGATACACGCTTGATTAAACTCAAAACCATTTAGAAATTTTAAAGAAGAGTGACTTTCATTCAGGGTATATTTTATTTTATTGACTACTATTAGCTGCTTATTAATGTAAAAATTTATAGCAGGGATGTCAATTAAATATATGTAGTGTTTGTATATCGGAATGTTTAGCTTCTGTCTGCCTTTGGCAATGAGAATCTTCTTTTGACTTTCTCGATCAATATTGCTATTGTGTAGTAATGGTAACAAGTACTTCTGAGACTAACAAGTTTTTTTTTATATTAAAGATGAAAGGGACTACAGTAGATTCAAACTCAATTCAGCATCCTGCAAAATTTTGTCCACGGTTATTGTCCTGTTACTATTAAACGTTGAAACAAAATACTTACTCGGACGTCCGGTTTACCACATCCTTTTATTACTTCTTCTATTATACCATCTTCCGTAGCAGACGTCTGTAATATAGCCCGACATCTTTCTTGACATTCTGGTGTTGTACCACGGTCACAGCATGGTATTTCTGTAATAAAACAAAGAACACCTGATACCACCTCTCATTTTTTGAGGTCAAATCATAAATTTAATTCACAAAAATATTTTGCAAATACAGATATTTTTGGGTAAAAAGTTCATTTTGTTTTGAAAAATTATTTGAAAGAATACTCTGTGACAACGAACTCACTTTCTGCAGGATTACTTGCTCTTGGTGATCGAATCTGTCTTTGAACACAATGGAAGACTTTTTCATCGTTACCATGACAATGTTTGAAGAGTATATTTTTGTTTTCGCGTCTGTTGGTAGAGTTTGAAATATAGTATGATTGACAAACCAGTTTACAACTATATGATTCTGCCTGTTGACAACACTTCTCTCCACCTTCAAAATAAAATTACATATGTATTACATATTATCTTTAAAGGGCATTTAGTGAAAGCAATATATAGTAAAAGACAACTTTATGGATAACATTTACTAGGTTTATTAACTGCAACGTTTCAATGGGGGTACTTTCAACGTTATATCTGAACAGTTGCAGTTAATAAATCAAATGAATGTTATCAATAAAGCTGTTTGTAAATATGTACTACATATGTACATAAATTATTATAATAACATCCAACTGATTTTTTTATTGGGGTTTGTGCCTATGCTTTTTAAACACAGGACTGATTAGTAGTGGGAGGGAACCAGATGACCCACTATCATACAGTGATTTCTCACTCTGGTATCTTACCTTTTTGTTTTTTTAAGCAAGAGAAGAGATGATTTTCTAATCCTGCTTCGCACGATTTTGACAGTGAGGACTCAGACTTCACCTGAAGAAATAAGAAAAAAAAAATATGGTATTAGAGTCTAAGATCAATTCTTACATTACAGAAGCAGGGTAAGATTGTTATAATATATAAAAATCAATTATGAAAAAGTACTACAATAATATGTAAGCATGCTCTACCTTGTACAAGACATTTGTCAATATTCAAAGCAATATGAAGCAATAGTTTGTGCATTTTAGAATGAATTAGCCATGGCACTTGAATCCCATCAGTAACATTATATCCCATTCAGATAAGCTATTTGAACAGAACAATTCTTTACTACAGTACACTTCAATTTAATCAAAGTATGCCTTAATTGTGGCCTAAACATCCCCAATAGAAACAGATTAATTCTGATCTAATCTGTTTATATTAAGATAAGCTCACAAGTAGGTATTTTAATAGAATTCCTAAGTCTTGATAAAGTGGAAGAACATGAGTGGTATTTCAATGATGATACATTCCAATTGCCAGGTCAAGTACCAGTTCTGCCATTGATAAAATCTGACCATTGATGGCATAATCAAGCAGAAATCTGTTTATAGGATTAAGAGTTTTAAGTGACCCGATGAACCTTTTAATTTATTAATAAGAGTCAACCAAACAGTTACAAATCTTTTCTATACAATTTTGCACTTTTTTCAAAAGCAAATTGAAATTTTCAGGCCACACTCATAAAATATAATTGTACCGAAAAGCATATTGGTCCAAAGACATTAAAATAGATCAATTCTAACATCAGTTAGTTGGACCTGTAGAATTTGTATCAACAGAGACCTGTCCTGTACACAAATTAACATACACTTAAACCTGTACACTGTACATAGAATTAGCATCAACAAAAACATTAAGTTACCTTGAAATTAAATTATAATTTTTGACTGCTTTTTTTAACTGAGTGTGATGATATGCAATGTTTGTGGTATCATTCACCGGCCATTGAAATCATATTTGCTTGTCTGGACCAACTGATTAATAAGCTGACAAAAAATGTCAGGATTCATCAGCACTTCACATGCTGTCAGTCCAGTTTGAATATGACCAGGATCTATCTTTACAGCGTAACTATAAATATTAACTGTTAACATAAGCTATTGTAGGGAATTGGCCAAGTGATATAGACATCACAATGCGGGTACCATAATTAAAAATATGATATATGAATTAATTTACAATGTTTGGTAAGCGTTACCAAAATTGATCTATTATCAAAACTGTGAAATGGGAGCCCTGTCAATAGGTACAATGTACAGGTAGAAGAAATATTTTCCATTCAGTCATGTAAATGCATTTAATTTGCATAAACCTCTTTGACAATAGCTCTAAAACACATTATCACTACACAACTGAATTATAATGAAAAATTGCACCAATTAATCTCAAGCTAATTACAATACTCGATAAATTCATCAGCAACCGAATAATTTGTTCTTTTTTTAAAGCTGACATCTGTGTAAAATACACATACATGAATAATAGACAATTGATAGCGATATAATTCTGTGGCATTCGTAGGAAAAAATATGAATTCAACGATCAATAGATAATATAATTACTCTACATTAGAAAATCAATTCAATGGCATAAAAATAGCATATAATTGTCAAAGAACACGTAATTGTCTTCAAATGGTTAATACAATACATATTTCATCGATTGAACAAGTGTATAATTATTCTGAAAAAAAATTGTCTGAATTGAATTTTTTGTCTTTTGAACTGGATTTTTATCTTTTGAGATGTCAAATTCTAATATTCCTAACTTTGTTTTGTAAGTAAATGAAAGAAAATTCTCTTAAAAATCATTTTCTTATTAAAGTCCATATGCATGATCTTTTTTCCACAATTTTTGATATGCCTAATTTATTATTCTTGTTCTATTCATTTGATATCAACTTTTTGACAATTTCATATTCATTTCATAGCCCAATATATTCAATTTTCACCATCAAAGGCATAGAATAAGGACAGGATTTGTAAAACTTTTGATATAGTCTGAGAAATAGTTTGGTGAGATCCAAACGATTATAATGAGAAATGTGAAAGAACAGAGCAGATGGCACCACTAATGTCAGAATTAAATGAAACAGTTTCTACTTCAATGCTGTCTTATCAATATGGTACCTAACCGAAATCTTTGATTTTGGAACAGCCAGTCTGAGAATAAATAAGTTCAAATCAAACAAAAGTACAAGGGAACATCAAATAATATGACTATCAAGTTATATTTTTTACTATCAGTGCTCTTGAAAATTTGATGCTGGAAAAGTTTGCCTAATTAATTGTTGGGATGTATATTTAATGAAATTTGTATACAATTTTGAATACTATGGCTGGGATTTAAAAACTGCAAATCTTTTTTGATGATTTTTTTTTTTTTTTTTTTTTTTTTTTTTTTAGTTTTTTGTACATATCAAGTTCATTTTACCAGGTTTTCCAGAAAATATCAGAACTTTATATTCTAATTCGGTACAAAGTTTTGAACCTGAAAGTGTCCCTTTGCAGTTGATTCTTGAGGATTTCCAGGGCAAATGAATTTGAAAAGTTGAATGGAAATCATTTTTAACTTTTGACATCAGTTCCACCAGAACTTTATTAATTATTGTTGTCATAGTTACCATGTTATTACCCTTTAAAAATATCATACACTGTTTTTCAAAATATTACCTCAATACTTATATTCGAACCGGCCAAAGGTTTTAATAATTTAAAACCGCTTTGTTTTTGTTTTTTTTGAATTTCCAAATCATGAGCTTTTCAGTTCAATCAACGATATGCAAGACAGATAATTTTGTGTACAATGTTTCTATGTCACAGTCAGTATGACATGAATGTCTCTATTCAAATCAAAATTAAAATTCATCAAGTTATCTTGAGATAATGTCTTCATATCTATATTTTCCATTAAAAACTTGTCTGACCTTTCTGGGGTCAGAGGTTGTAAAAGAACATCTGTCTATAAAACATGAACTTTTTTAATCCAGTTTGGAAAAACCAAACCAAAAACACATTTGGCATATTATTATTGAACATTCAGTCTTCACTAGAGGCATAGTATTAAATGATGAAAACTGGAAAACCTTGTCTTACTTGGAATTCTATTAAGCCACAAATTGTCAGAAGTTCAGTGGTTATTTTCTTATTACTTAAAAGATAGTTTGCCAGGCAACAAAACATGCCCACAGCAGCTAAGTTGTCCGGGCAGTCAACAAGTGTTGTTGCATATTTTTTCTTTTGTCAGTAATGAGAACATTTACAACACATGAAAATCTGATTACGAGTAATAACCCAGGAACTAATTATCAGAAAACATTAGAATTTGTTTGTCTCATGACCGTAAACAATTTATATCAACTTTAGCCTCTAAAGTGAATGAATGAAGGAAATGGAGTCTTAGCCTCTAGGGTGAATGAATGAAATAGAGTTTTAGCCTCTAGAGCTTCCACAAGATTTTTCAACAGATCAAGGGCCTTAACTCTGGCGGTAATTATCATAAATCGTTGAAAATGAATAGGATTCTTTGTCTCATGACCTTAAACACTGTGTACAAGTTTAAAGTCAATAAGATGTTAACTTTAGCATAAAGAGCTTCTACAAGATTTTTCAATGGTCAAGGGCTATAACTCTGGCAGTAATTATCGGAAGTTGTTGAAAATCAGTAGGCTTCTTTGTCGCATGACCTTAAACAGTGCATATAAATTTAAAGTCAATCAGATATTAACTTTAGCCTCTAGAGCGTCCAGAAGCAATTGTGGAAGACAGACCGCCGGACACACACAATATACAACCACATTTCAATGTGGGCGTATAAAAACTAACCTAGGTTAGATTCCATCCGCACCCTAGATCTTGATGAATTTAGAAACAACTTACTCTCCAGAAACTTAAAGACTATATTTTGCCTGGTAATTTTTAACTAATGATATCATTCATTTAAAAGAATATTAATCATATAAATATTTATAAGGGGATAAACACCTCCACTATTGGTATTCTTGGAAAATAGATAGTCTTAGTACTATCACCATATTTATGTTTTTCACCTTGAAACTGTAGTAATTCTAAAATATTTCATGTGATTATATTTATAATTCATTTTTATTTATTGTGCATGTACCGGTTTTACAAAATGTAATAACGCCATGGAGCAGTGATCTTTACTGGAATGCAGGCGCTCTATGAATACATTATATTATTATTAGTAATAAAATAATTTATGATTATTGTATCTTTTAAATCAGTTATGACAATATGAAACTTTATTGCTATGTTTGCATTTTATTATGGCTAATGCTTGAAGAAGCTTTTAAAGAGAAATTTGCAGGTTTAAATTGAAAGTAAAAACAGAAGAATGATTTCGACTATTTATTCATTCCTACTATGTATTATAAAATTAGTGATAAATTTTGAGTACATTTTCGTACACGCGTGGCTGCAAACTCCAAACACCAATTCGTTTATCCAAGTCTATTTTTTTTGCGTTTTCCAAACTTACATCTCAAATCAAATTAAGCAAAGTCCTTTTCAAGAAAAAAACTTTTCGTCATACTAAGGAACAACTTTTTTTATATATCAAATCTTTACATGGAAAAAAATCTTCAAAGTTTTTCTCAAATGTTAATCACCAACATGGGAAATTTTCATTTTTTGTAAAGATAATCAAAGAAACTACCAAAAAAATCTGTCATCAATTTCAAATTATTTTCTCAAAGAGGCTAATGCATCCAGCTAAGACATAATGGTACATTCTATTACGTCTCGAAGAATGGAACGATGGGATGAATGACATAAAAGAAACTGATTTCCCAGGTAAGGACTACCTGTAATGGCTGTCATTTTCTACTCAATAAGATTAAATGAAGGTGTATAATTAATGTCAGAGAGGCTCCACAGGGTTTTCCTCTTCTTGTTTGTTCTTATCCAGACAAATGTTTCATATTAGCCCAGCAGGACATTCACATGTATTCGAACATCCATCTTCAAATTTCTTTAAAAAAACAAATTTTCTTTTCTTCACAAATTATTGTTGAGATTTTATTTCTTTTTCAAAACAGTTACATATTTATTAAGTTGACCGTATCATATTTTCTTAAAGAGTTCTTCTTGCCCATTTTTTAAAGTCAATTTCATCTCTGAATTTTAAAGGAGTAGTATTCCTTTCCTCAAGAAAAGAAATGTAATTCATTTTAAACAAAATTATATTTACAATAAACTTACATTCTCATTATTATCGAAAGTCAAGTACCGACCCATAAGGTATTTTTTGCGAGTCTTCAGGAAAACATTATCTAACAATGGATTGGTAGATTTATCTCAAATTTTGGGATTGGCAGATTTGTATCAAAGATTGTAGGCAACCTGATTTGAACTCAAGCAATCAAATCAAACTGAAAATTATTTTTTTTTACCAATTATCGAAGGTCGAAAATACCACTACCTCTTTACAGTATCATTGTAAAACGTGAATAACATACATGTGTTGTTCACGAGGCAGAATATTATTTTTACAACACGCAATACCACTTCTTATTTGACCAAAAGTCTGTTAGCTATATCAAATCTTATGAAATTTTGATCCCCAAATATGATCATAATGTATAAATATATTTCTTTTAAATAACTTCACAGCTGAAACATCTTTCAATACCAAAATTTATTTTCAGAACAACAAAATACAACTTTATTAGAAAAAAAATATCAAAAACATCTCAATTTTTCTAACACTTAACAGTGTTCTTATTTATGTTTTTGTATTAACACATTATTCTTTCCACTTTTTTGAACATTTGATACTTTGGAATTAAAAAACCTTATAGATAAATCCTGACAAAATGAAATAAATTTACAAAAGAATTTGACCTCTTCCAGTGACACTTTAGATTTAAATTCCCTCTCAAGATAAAACTGACAATTGGAACCTAAAAATCTAATCTAAAATTTACATTTAACTTCAAGCAATCAAAAAATACTCATGATTCAGTTAAAAGCAATTTTTGCTAAATGTGCGATATGTTAAGAAAAAAATTGCCTCAAAAAATCACTTGAAACCTAGGCTATAAAAACCATCAATTTTTGACATCCTGGTGGATAATTATCGTAGATAATTTGAATAAACAAATGCCAGACGAGTACTTGACTGCAAGCCACCTGACAAAATGAATGCTTACTTTTGGTAAATATTCGTGGCTTATGTCTTATTCTTGTTTGGCAAATGCTTGCATGTACTTATAAACAACGATAATTAGACCCATTATTGGTGGATAAAAAGTCCAGTAATATGATCGGCCAGCTTGCCAGGATTTTTTTTGTGCTCTCTCTACCAGCACTGATAATGTGTAAATATTTGAATAGGCTTGACAATTTCATTAAATTTTGTGAATGGCGTTACTATAAATAACCTCAGCTAATTGGTATATTAAGTCTAACCAAACATTTGCCAAAACTCAAATGTTGAGAGTTGTGCTAGCAGGCACATTACTGCCATTTTAACTTTTATAAATAATTTAATGGCAAGTGCAATGACTGGATTGGGTTGTGATAAGAGTTTTTGTATATTTGGATTGTGCACCAGGAAAAACATAGATATTATATGGCATGTAATAATGTAAATACAATAATAATAATGTAACGCTAGTGTCTATAATTCAGACCATAACGTCTCCCTTTGATCTGAGTTACCTCTTCAATAGTAAACCATTAAATGACTGACTGAATGATATTAATATAGCAATTAAGTCAAAGATAATATTTTATAGAGAAAACATTACAGTGACAATATTACAGTTTCAATATTACAGTGATTAAATTACAGTGATAACATTACAATTGCAGTGATAATATTACAGACATGACTGCAGTGGCAATATTAATGTGAATTCTGTCACAAGTTTAAACAGTGCAGAAGACTATCCCATCCAAGAAACTAAACTTCTCTCCAATCAGAACAGAACATTGACCTTACCTGTTGACATCTTTGTTTACAATGACTGCTGATGGCTAAATCACAACATGGTCGACCTTCCCATTTCTCCAGCTCTTGTACAACTGGAAGAAAATGAAATAAGATTTCAGTTAATTTGTTTAATTAATCAATTTTATATCATACATGTACGTAAGAGCATTATAATATCATTCAAAATAACATATTGATCATTGAACATGGACATTTAACTCAGGAAGTGGCTTGAAACTAATAAAATTGTATGAACAAATTCCAATTCCAATCATATATAGATGGTATTTGGTTAACCCAACACTCATATGACTAACTACCTATGATGGATGAGGGGTCTGTCACGGCTGAGACCTGATGTGTTCAGAATTAAAGGTCCCCCAATGTGGACAGGGAGCAACAGTGGCTAAGTGAGAAAGACGTTGGCTCGCTAACCTGAAAATCGCATGTTTGATCCCTACACTGGCCAAGAAAGTTCATTGGGATTTTCCGGCGTGGTCCCCCTTGGCATAGGTGCAGGACAGAGGGCCTGACAAGGGACAGTGTATAGTCCTTCGTCGGATGGGATGAAAAAATGAAGTCCCATGTACATATTGGTGTGCTCGTAAAAAGTTGTTGGAATTTGATACAAGAGTAGGCCATAGTACTGCTGTCTGGGCAAAATTTCCCTCATAGCACACTGTATGGCATATGCCCGTTGTACATTTGCCAGTCAGAAAAACACTGGTTAGCATCTTTCTTGTTCAAAAACACCGAGAAATGGTTTATGTTGCAATTGTATATTTTCTCTGCATTTAAGGGTTCAAAGTCAAGCCCCTCCCCACCCCCTTAGGCTAACATGTAACTATTTATTTTCATTAATCCAAATTAAAGGATGACTAATTATTTTTCTTTTAGGTTTTTGTATAAAATGAAACATTATTAATGGGTTTTCTTAACACAAAAATAAAATTGTCAAAAATGTGTGCATGCATGTAACTTATTCTTTGACATCTGAATAAGTGTCAGTTGAAATTTATGATTAGTTTTTATTGTACACCTGTAAGTATCATTTGTAAACATTTCATCAATGAATACAGTCAAGATTTTTATGAACAAGAAAAAAACAACTAAATAAATAACACCTATGACACTTGAATGAATACAATAGAGGTCTTGATAGACTTATTGTTATACATGTATATATATATCTACATTTATATCGCCATGTAATAGAAACTTTTATGCATGATTCCCGGTATGACCATTTGGCATTACGGTTTTCTGCACATCTTGTTCGTCAATCTTTTGTCAGTGGAAACACACTGAATTTGCTTTAAGCAAATTTTTAATGCCTGTGGGGAAACACCACTTCAGATATTACTGCAAACTAATGGTTATAAAAAATGTATTTAAATTTCAGATCAATATTGTCTGTTTTATTATATTAACCAATATGAAAATGAATACGTATAAATAATAACAGACAACATAAATTGTAAACCCTGTAGTGTTAAGCCAATATCTCCAACCCCATGTCCAACACTAGCCAAGCTCTGTAAATTCCTATATTACCAATGTCACAGGTCATGTATATATTTCAATTTTGGTACATAAGTATACAAACAATTTGTTTTATCAACAGTGTATACATGTATGCTTACATACAAGAGAGGATTATCTTTAAGATGAACACAACCAAATTATTAACATATACATACAGAAACTACAATATGGGATTGATGTCAGAAAACCTAAACTTTGTTAATTGTGTAGCAATATTGAATTACAATCAAAAATAGTATTAGATTAACCATAAGCATTCAAAAATAAAATATATTTCAAATCATTTATATTGTCTTAAATCCTAAAGTATTTGATGGGGACTAAATTTAATCTTGGATTAGATGAGCCACCAAACCTTTAATAAATATGTCATTTAATATGATCTATAATTTACTCACCGTGACATACCTATACAAAAGTCAAGGAGTCACAGTTAAAAACTCAACCAAGTGGAAACTCTCTGGTTACATTTTGTGGTGTAAATTCCTCCTATTGACAAGGGCTTTCTATTATATGGTATGTTCTCATAACATGTTCTAGCTTAACCAAGCGTTTAATAACTGTATTAATGTTGATCATCCCACTGAATCAACTATGAGAGGTCTTAGATTTCTCAATCTGAATAATAAATCTTGAATACAACTTGACTAAATAGTGTTTAATTTTGCCCGGAAAGAGCTACTGCTATTTTATTTGTATACATAAACATTACATTACTTCAACGGAGATTTTTTCATTGTTGTTTATTTAACAAATTTTTTGTAAACTTTTACAATCTTAATATTAAACTGTTACTAAAATCCACTTTTTTCGCCTAATTTTCTATTTGAATTCAAATAATCTTTTGTTTTGATCAAATAGATCATTTTATAATTTCCAATTACCGTTAGCTAAGAACTGTGACTCATTAGCATAACTAAATGGTTTATGTGTGGCCAAAGTTGCGTAAATGTATCTTGAGTTATTCCACACATATCTTCAGGAAACAAAACTGGACTGGAATGACAGAGCTTATTTTAAAAAAAATAAAAAAAATATGAATTTTGGGGGTTTTCAATCATGAATTATATATATTCGACATCAACACTTGAAAGGGGCTAGAAACAAAACTAGACTGGAATGACAGAGCTCATTTTAAAAAAAAAAATAAAAATATGAATTTTTGGGGTTTTCAATCATGAATTATATATATTCGACATCAACACTTGAAAGAGGCCATGAACATGTTTTAATCCAAAAGGTATTTTAAAATTATTTGAATAACAATTGAAGAGTAGACATAATAATTGCACAACCAACAAACATGTCTGCTCCTAATGATAAAATACATTTGCTACAACAATGTAAAGATTTGTTGTACACAAGACTTCAGAAATCAAAAATACTGATCTCATTAAGAACAATCGTCGACCACGTTTCTCAAATATTAAAAGCTTATCCTACATCATTTCTATGTAACATATATAAAACACTGTTAGCAAACAGAATTACTTTTCTCATATAATGGAGATTACCAATACATATAAATAACAAACATTGCATAAGAAACTCTACAATAATCCAAGTTATTACATAAGTCCCCAATGTCAAGCACATAAAGTAAAGAAATCAGAGGTGAACAAAAACATAATTGTAGCTTTATTACTTTAAATCTTGATCATGATCAACTTTTAAAAAAAAACATTTCAGTGAAGAGACCCAGTGTCGCCCACTGTTATTCGTTCTTCCTAAATAAGTCTACCAGATGTACAGTTTTTTTTATCCTTGGAAAATTCAAAATTTACATTGAAGGCAATCTGATACATCACAATTATAGTTACAGTTTAACTCACAACATTTTTTACAATAAAAATTAAAGACGGCATCACATAATATGCATCTGTTTTTCTCAAATGTGTCTAAATTGTTTTCAACCTTGCAAATTTCTATATAGGATTTATTTATTTTATAGAATTTAAAAATATTCCAAAAATACTGTAAAAACTACAAAGAAGTAGTTGAAATATGTTGTATATTTGAATAAGTGAGTAAAACGAGAGAGAAATGGGTGGGAGTTTGCAGGTATGAGTTACTTATTTGCTAGCTTAATCAGTGTACATAGTTTCACCCTCATCACCTTAACAAATTTACTAAGACCATCATCAACAAGTTTATGTTGACTTAGATCTTCACACCAATACCCGAATACACACAGCTCAAACCTTTACCAACCATCCTACAGATAATTTTCCACTTGGCTGCCTGTGTATAAAACCAAGTAAACTTTTCAGCGAAGTAACAGAAAGTGAGGCTGGGCTAGTGACTGTTAAATTTTAAGATGGGTTAAAACTATTTAATTAAAAGGTCATTTGTGATGAGAAAACTGTGGAGTCTTTGTCAAATGCCAAAAGAAGAGGGAAAATGAAATGTAAACAACTGTTAACAAGCAATAGCAAAAAACAAATATATGTAATGAAAATTTATGTTCGGAATATCCTCCATGGATTTCATATATTGGATATGGTATACTTAGCCTCTCCAAAACACCTTCGCATGGCTAGCAAATTTTTTCTCTTTTTTTTTCGGGGGGAGGATACTTTTATGGTAATGTTTGGTTTTGAAAGAAGTGTGTTCCTATTTACAAACTGGAAAAGTACATAAAAATGTCAGCTTTGATCCATTGAAATATAGTAAGGCACTGCAAATCTGCTTTGAATTGCCTATACATACCATATATTACCCATGTCCACACTGGTCCTTGGTACCCTCTGCCATCTTTATAAATCTCTACATCAACTATTCAAAGATCAAGATTTTGCTACTTATAGTGATGAACAAAAATTTACCCTTTAAATCGGTTAAAGACTTTAGAAATATTTTTTTATTAAGATGCCAGTAAGCTTTCAGATTTAATCTGGTAATTATCCACTTTCATCAAAATAAGAGGAAGAGATTAAAAGATAAATGTCAGAAACAAATTTGAAGTTGATTAAAAAATCAGGAATCTAGATTTACAAAAAAACAGGTTTCATCTTAAATATTTAGAATCAGTCATTCAACTCCAAATCTGACACAAGATTATATATATGTATATATGTTTTTGCAATGAAATGGGGTTTAACATCCGACTTTTCTGCACCATCGGGACTAATGAATATGGTCACATATATTTTAAACATGGAAATAAATAAAGTACATGATCTGTTTTTAAGTAAACAAGTGCAATTCAAATATGAATACAATAGCCAGTTTTAAAACAGCACATCCAAAGCTGAAAAGCTGTTCTATCAAAACTATGAGTTCTTCAGGCAATTCTAACCCTGTTTCAGGTGGATGCAATCAAATCTAATTCCTGATGGAGAGTACATGTTACTCAAATTTTCCAGATTAAAAAAGCATCACAACTGAGTAACCTTACCTCATAAATTAAAACAAGCAGTTGATTTAATTAATACTTAATGTTATTCAAACATGATTTTAAACAGCCATAAAAACAAACAGTTAGTACAAAATAGATCATCATAATTTGGCAACACGTTTGGCACTTGTTGTAAAAAGTTCAATTCGTA